GAGAATCCACCTACGCAGGTCCTGGGCGATGATGCGCATAAAGGACCCGATCCATATGCGATCCTCTAGAAGTCCGTTTGACACATATCGCGAACAACGAGCTGCGATGAGTCTTATATGTGTGCGATGCGGGAGAGGCTGAATCGAGTGTTCCGAATGCGCGCGTATCCTAGATGGATTCTGGGTGGGTGGGCGATGTGTGCGATATGGGTCTGATACGGTAGGCCGACTACAACACTCCGAAATCCCGGATGCGCCCATTGTTTACCGTAAATCCACACCGGCAATTTTGTCAATTTTTCGTCAATTCGAGCCTACATTTCTGGTTTTTCGATTATTCCTTCGATGTTTTTTGTGAAAAATATAAGAAGGGGTGGGCGCCGGTTAGCGAGCGGCAAGCTATGCTGGGTTTCAGAATTTTTCCGATGACTACAGTAATCCCCAAAATTCAAAAATTTTCAGACGCCTCGCCAAAGAGCAAGACCGTAACTATGTGGACTATCGTAAACAAGAAATTCTTCACCTCATCAAGCCGAAAACCAAAGCGTTTAACCTGAAAAAGTTCGACGACGAGTTTCCAAAGCCGAAGAAAAAGGACAAGATTGATATGAAGTTTGGCGAAGAGATGCACAAGTACTTGACACTTCGTCCGGATGCGAGATTCGCCACGTGGCCCGGAAAACCGGCGATCAAAAAGAAGAAGCCGAAGGCGGCTGCTCCGGTGAAGACTGGGTTGATGGCGAAGATGGCAACGGCGGCTGGAGTGGCAAAACCACAAAAAGAGGCGACACCAGAGCCAGCGAAAAAGGGGTTGTCAAGAATTATACAAAAGCTGTCGCCAAAATTCTCATTCAAAAAGCCGAGTTCGACGACGACGGTAAGCCTCGGGCAGCGCCGCCACCCTCCCCCTTCCTATACACCTTTCGCTCTATCTCCCCTTGTATCCCCGCGTGGCGCAGTGCCTGCGCTTTTGCCCGACGTTCCAGACGCAGGTCCTGGGCGCGCATACGCATAATGGATGGGCGACGGAGGACGCGCCGATAGGGTACAGGGAAAGGACGGCGGTATGGGGCATATACGGGGCATATGGGGCACACCGCCGCCGCAAAGCATCTCCTCGCCTGGCTTGCTGGCACTCGATGAAATGAACTAAAACGTTGGTTGGGGGTTCCTAGAAGTATCAGTTAAGTTCTATTGTGATGTGATTTTGTTCAGGTCTTTCGATTTCGTACTTTTCCTTTATTATTCCATATTCTTTTATATTTTGAACGACATATTACTGATTTTTCGAAACTCAATGTTTTGGTTTTGAAAAAGACTTATGGCAGTTTCCATTTAAATTTGATATGCAATCAAAAACAGAACAAAATGGGAAAAAATTCGCTAAAAATTGTTTTTTTTTCATTTGTTCAAAAAATGTCTCACTTTCACTTTTTTTGAAATTACATGAAAAATTGAAAATTTTTATAATTTAAACTTTGTAATTATTGTATACTTACCAACTTACCTTTTACTCCACCTGAAAATACGATTTTTACAATAATTACAAAGTGAAATCAAAAAATCTCAATATCACCTATTTAGGCGAAAAACATAGCAATTAACGAGTGAAAGACATGTTTCTGCAAGAATTCAGCGATTTTTTATTCTGCCATAACTCTTTTTCACAAAAAACATCGAAGGAATAATCGAAAAACCAGAAATGTAGGCTCGAATTGACGAAAATTCGGAACACTCGATTCAGTCTCTCCCGCATCGCACACTTATGAGACTCATCGCAGCTCGTTGTTCGCGATATGTGTCAAACGGACTTCTAGAGGATCGCATATGGATCGGGTCCTTTATGCGCATCATCGCCCAGGACCTGTGGAGTTCGGGGGGTTCGAACCCCATACCCGCCCAAAACTTTTTTTTTCTTTTTTTTGCTTCTATCTAATGCTTGCAAATACATAAAAATGATCTCGAAGCGTTTAAAAACCAAAATTCCTTCCAGAAATCGATCACAAACGACTCAAAGAAGCCGAATTGTTTATCGATAAAAAAGATATCGAGGAAAAGAACAAGTACGCGTTGAACGCCATCGTTGAGGGTAAACCGTTTTGGTTGATTGGAGAACCGTAAGTCTTTTTTTAATTTTTGGATTTTTTTCAAAAACCCTTTTAATTAAAATTTTCAAATTTAAATATTTCAGAGTTGTCCCGGATGATGAAGAGGATGCTTATGTCGATGCTGACTTGTTGAATAGTGTAAGGGTTTCTGAATTGTTTAGTTTCCCGACATCCCATTTGGCCCGGCGGGAAATTCAAATTTCTCATACTTGTAACGGGCCGGGCCGGGCTTTTTTCCGGATTTTCGGAGGCCCGACCCGGCGGGCCTGTCATTTCACTATTTTCGAAATTTTCAAAAAACACATAAGGGGGGACCCTTATATGATTTTTTTCGACCAAAAATTTTTTTTTCGAGTTTTTCGATCTTTTTTGATCAGACAGACAAACAATCCGAAATACGAAAAAAAAAATGGAAAAAATTATATTGAGAGCTCAAAATTTGGCTCAAAAATACAGAATGTTTGACACCGGGCCTTCCGGGCCTTGAAAATTTCCTCAGGCCCGGCCCGGCCCGGAATTTTACAAGTATGAAATTTCTTTTTTTTTATTATACAAAAAATTATTTTCCAAAAACCGTTTTCAGTGGACTGCAAAAACCGAGGCAGTCAGAGCCAAATTCTTTCATAACAATGCCGAACGTGCCCGATTTTTTCCTTTTGGGCCGACAGCTCAGCTAATGACAGGTCAAATGTTGGTTTTTGGAAATAAGTGAGTTTGCAAAATTTCAATGTTCCCCCTTCCCGCGCTTTTGCAAAGCTCGCCATCTATGTGTACGCCCTTCGCTCCCTTCCACTCAAGCTACGCGCGTGGTGTTGTGGTGAAGAGGCTTTTCTCCTAGTCCGAGGGTTTTTGGTTCGAGCCCCATTGGCGCCAATCTCTTTTTGATTCTTTTTATTCCAGATGCCTCGTCATTGGAAACACTCTCCAATCGATTATCGAATCAACTGCTGATCGGAAGGGTCTTTGCAAGGAACGAGTCGATAAAGGACACAAGCCAATGGTCAAATGGAGCAAGAAAACGCATACAATCGAGTATGTGATGGATTCGGTGCCATTGGAAAAGACGGCGATTTGTGAGGGCAAATTTCAAGTGATTCTGAAGGAAAACGCGAAGAAAGAGTGATCTGATTTTTTAGAATTGAATCGAATAAATTTATTTTTAAAAATGAGCAATCAAACAAACAACAACAAAGAAACTAAAATACACTAAACAATCTACAGTACTCCCCTATTCCGCCGTTCCCATGAGCCTTTGAATTTCCAACGGGTCGCGTGGCACGGCGGCGGTGAGCAGCTCGATGCCTCCAGATGAGCTAGTTGCCACGTCATCTTCGATACGGTAGCCGATGCCACGGAATTCCTGAAAAAAAAATTGCCAGAAAAAAAATCGATAATCGACCTAAAATTTTAATTTTTTCGCGGAGTTTTTTAGGTCAACATTTTAAGAAAAAATCGATAATCGACAAACCTTAACCGGCCAATCCATTGGTACATAGCAACCTGGCTCAATTGTAAACGACACATTCGCGGGTAAATCCACGTCACGGGATACTGTAGCACAGTCGTGAACATCCATTCCGAGATAGTGACTGACATGATGAGGACACAGTTTCTCGGCCAAATGAATCATTTCCTTTGGGTCCGTCGATTTGATTAGTCCTAATTCCGAAAAACTCGCCGCCAACAGCTCATTCATTCGTCGGAAAAGTGCCGATAGGCGGACTTTTTCCATATTATGGGCATAGGTTAGAAGTTGTTCGTGCACGTAGAGAAGGGCTTCGTACAGGGAGAGTTGGGCGTCGGACCAGCTGAAAATGGGAAGAGGTGGAAGAGTTTTCGGAGGGGTGGCCTAGGATCCGACAAGTAGGTGAATGGCCTAGAAAACCACGGCCTAGTATCGGATGCCATAGTCAGTCTGGTGGCCTAAAATCCGACAAAGGAGGTTGGCCTAGGAAACAACGGCCTAGAATCTGATGCTATGTTTAATCTGGTGGCCTAGGACCCGACAAAAATAGCATTTCAAATGGATTAGAGCATACTTGTAACGGGCCGGGCCGGGCCGGGCTTTTCCCGGAATTTCGGAGGCAAAAAACACATAAGGGGGGACCCTTATGTGATTTTTTTCGACCAAAAAAAATTTTTTTCGAGTTTTTCGATCTTTTTTGATCAGACAGACAAACAATCCGAAATACGAAAAAAAAAATCGAAAAAACTATATTGAGAGCTCAAAATTTGGCTCAAAAATACAGAATTTTTGACACCGGGCCTTCCGGGCCGGGCCCGGGCCTTGAAAATTTCCTCAGGCCCGGGCCGGCCCGGAATTTTACATGTATGGTTTAGAGGTCAACATGTGGATGGCCGAGTTTCTGAATTGGTGGCCTAGAAAACCAAAAACCTTGAAAATTTATCGATTTTTCTCACTTTTTCCGTAAATTCTTATCGTGGCCTAGAAAACCAAAATTCCGATTTTTCGTGCTGAAAATTTGCTGAATATTGAATTTTTAGGTTCAAAATTCGGCCATGGAAGAGTTTTTTGCCTTTGGTGGCCTAGAAAACCAAAATTATCGAGATTTCGACCAATTTCCATCATTTTTTCTCAAATTTCTTCTCGTGGCCTAGAAAACGCAACTGCGGCGGCCTAGAAAACCCCGAAACCCGCACTTACTGCCCGGAAATCGGAAAACATCGGGTAATGTCCGAAACGTAGCCGTTCAAGTCGCATCCGGCGTCGACGAGCACCGTCTCGGTGGGGCTCAGGTCCGCGTTGGCGTCCAGATAGTGAATTGTGTTGGCGCGAACGCCGCCTGGAAGTCAAAAGTGGTTTGGCGGGAATTTGAAAATTTTGAAAAATATTTTTTTTTGCTTTTTTCTGACAATATTGCAGACAACTTTTCCGGAAAATTTGAAAAAAAAAGTTCAAAAAACATTTTTTTTTTGAAAAATCCATTATCGATTTTTAGGTCGATCACCTGCAATCACTGGCGGATAGGCTTGCATCTCGCTTCCGCGTCGACGTCCTTCGAATTCCAATAATCCACAAATCGCATTTTCATTGTGCACGTTTTTGGCTCCGGATATCATTGAGCTCATCGTTTGAGCACCCAAATTGCACACGTCACGCATTGCGTCCATCTCGTTGTCCGATTTGATCACTCGAAGACGTTCAATCTGAATCAGAAATCGATAATTTTGGCTTTTTTGGCACCGCACCAATTTTCCAATTTTGGAAGCGGCGCGCGTCGGCGTCGCGGTCGGCAGCGTCTTGAGCGTCGTTAAGTCGCTACTCATCTGGCGACTGCTACGCCGACACGCGTTCAAATTTGGCTCTAATCGATTGAAAAAATCGATTTTTGGGTCTTTTTTACTGTCAAAAATGACAAAAAAAAACTGGAAAAAATCAATTTTTCAGCAAAGACATTGGACCAAAAATTGAGAATTTCAGCACTTAAAATGTCTATTTTCAGTTCAAAATTATCAGATTTTCAGGCAAATTCAGACTTTTTAAGACCCAAAAATCGATATTTTTAGGCTGGAAATGTAAAATTTCAAGTCAAAATTTGTGATTTTCAGCTTCGAATTATGTAATTTTTTGGCTAAAAATCGTCCATTCTCAGACCTAAAATTACGATTTTCAGCGCTGAAAATGGATTCTAATTGCTCGAAAATCAGCTATTTTCCGGTGAAAAAAAATCGATTTTTCATTTTTTTTTAAACTGCTAAAAATGATGGAAAATTGGGACATTTTCAGCCAAATTTATACTTTTTAAGACCCAAAAATCTATATTTCCAGGCCTAAAAATGGACATTTTCAAGGCAAAATTAGAAATTTTCTAGACTAAAATTTGGCACTTTCCGGGGCGAAAATTGGTCATTTTCAAGTAAAAATTAGCCGATTTTCAGTCATTTTAAGACTCAAAAGTCGATATTTTCAGCTTTAAACTATGCATTTTCAAGGCAAAATCAGTGATTTTTAGCGGCAGATCAAGCCATTTTACGCTGAAAATCGACATTTTAAGGCCTGAAGTTTGAAATTTCAAGCCGTAATTCGTGATTTTTGAGCTAAAATTGGGCATTTTTTAATTTGAAATTGCCGCGAAAACGAGTTATTTTCAGGTGAAAAATATAGATTTTTTCGCTATTTTAACCCGCCAAAAAACTCACAAAATGATCCACAGAACTCAACGAATTGGCTTTTGTCTTCAAAAAATTCTCCAAAAAATCATCGTCCGAAGCGGTGTTGGAAAACACAGCGGTCCCTTTGTCAACCACTTTTTCCAGCGTTTGAATCAATCGATTCGTCGGCGAGAGCTCCGAAAAATTCGCCGTTTTTTCCCATTCGGTCTCCGATGGAAGGGGTCCTTCCCAGAGGGTTTCGTAGTCCGTTCGTCGGTTGGCGAAGAGCAGATTTGTGGGTTTTGACGATTCTTGAAGGCCACATTGGATGACGTAGTAGCAGTCGGGCGTCGTTATTCCATTTAGATATCTGGAAATTTTTTGGGTTTCTAGGCCAGGCATGAGGAAAGTTAGGCCACTCGAATTATTTCGGAATTCTAGGCCACAAAACAACGACATTCGAGGGTGGCCTAGTTTCAATTTTTGGAATTCTAGGCCACCTCTAGGTCACGTTTATTGACATAGAAATTGATGGTGGCGTAGCTTTGTGTTTTCTAGGCCGCCAACTTTTCTGTGGCTTTTTGTGACTCTGTGGCCTAACTTTTCAATTTTCTTGGATTTCTAGGCCACCACTTGTAAAAATTAAGCCGTGGCCTAACTTTTCAAGTTGTTGGATTTCTAGGCCACCTGATGTAAAAGTTAGGCCATCTCTCTCTCACCTGAAATGACTTTTTTGTCGAAAAGCGTGCGGAACATCGGGTGCAATATAGGATCGCTTCGCTCCTTTCATCACGATTACCATTTGTTTCTCTGAAAATTTTGAAAAAAGAATTTTTTTCGATTTATTGGAGTTTTTTTTGAAAAATTGTAATTTTCGCCGATTTTTTCAGTTTTTTTTTGGTCTTAATTCGAATGTTCAGCTGAAAATTTTTTTCGAAATTTTCAATTTTTTCCCGAAAAATTCAAATTTCCGCCCGTTTTTTATTTTTTAACGATATTTCAGAAAAAAAATTGAAAAAAATTTTTTCCAGAAATTCAAATTTTCAGCTGAAAAAAATTTTTGTTTTTCGAAAATTTTCAAATTTTGCCGATTTTTGAAAAGTTTTTTGTAAAATTTTTTGCAGAAATTTTCCGATTTTTTCTCAAAAAATTCAAATTTCCGTTGATTTTTTTTCAGAAATTTTGAATTTTTTGAAAATTTTTAAAAAAACAAATTTTTTTAAAATTTTAATTTTCGCCGTTTCTTCTAGAAGTTTCCATCAAAATTTACCTCCAGTCTTGACTTCTTTTTTCAACAATTTCACTAATTTCTCTCTTCTTAGCCCATATTCTTCATTCGGAATCCGCGATGGCCATAGCGAATTTATGATCTTCCTCTGCTGATTTCGAAGCATTTTTAGGGCCTAAAAATGTCAAAAAATCTGAATTTAGCCTAAAAATTTCAATTTTTAAATGTATGAATTCAAAAGGAATCACCGTTTTTTTTCCAAAAATTCAAAAAAATTTGAAAAATTCCAGAATTTTCATACTATAAAAACTAAGAAAACAAGAGAGAGAGAATCAACAATTATGAACAGAGAAAAAAAATCGATAGATTTTGAAAAAAGACTACAAAAACTACAAAAAAAGAAGAAAGACCTAGAAAAATGAGCATTTTTGAGAATTTTTTTGTGCAAAAAATATTAATTAGGATATTTAATTGGCCAATTAGCGATCCAATTACAATCGATACGACACTCCACCGCCAACGATGCCATTCTCGCCAGTGATGTATCTGCAAAAAATAAGGGAAATTGAATTTTCGGGAATTTGAAAACTCCAGGAGGGAATTTGAATTTTTTCAGCAAAAATTTAGATTTTCAGATGGAAAATTATGATTTTTAGAGCCGAAAATAGAGAATTTCAGGGTCAAAAATGTCAATTTTCAGTTAAAAAATACGCGAATTTCAACCAATTTTAGACATTTCTTGACCCCGAAAAATCAATAATTTCAGTTTAAAATAGGCATTTTCGAGCTAAAATTATTGATTTTCAGCTTTGAATTATGTAATTTTGAGGCTAAAATATATATAAAATTTAAAAAACGCCATTTTTCAGGCGAAATTTGAGCATTTTTAGGCTTAAAGGGGGACTCCGACCAAAAATTTTATTGCATTAAAATGTGTTAAAAGTTATCTATTTTCCGAATATTATTGCGAAAAAATTCAAAACAAATCCGAAATCCCCGAAAAACGGCGTTGAAAAGGAAGAAAATTCAAAAAAGGTGTCGCCGGGGGACGAGGATTTTCAGTGAGAAACCTAGGCCACGGCACCTGACAGCCTTTTTTTCAAGTCGCCGACAGTGGTTTTTTACGTTTTTTACCTGCCGGACATGAAATTGAAAAAAATCCGGGTACCGAGCTCGAATT